AATGGAAGATGGTATCACCAATTGTGTTGGTGAAATGGAAGATGGTATCACCAATTGTGTTGGTGAAAGGGAAGATGGTATCACCAATTGTGTTGGTGAAAGGAAACATGGTATAACCAATTGTGTTGGTGAACTGGAAGATGGTATCACCAATGGTGTTGGTGAACTGGAAGATGATATCACCAATTGTGTTGGTGAAAGGGAAGATGGTATCACCAATTGTGTTGGTGAAAGGAAACATGGTATAACCAATTGTGTTGGTGAAAGGAAAGATGGTATCACCAATTGTGTTGGTGAAAGGAAACATGGTATAACCAATTGTGTTGGTGAACTTGAAGATGATATCACTAATTGTGTTGGTGAACTGGAAGATGATATCACCAATTGTGTTGGGGAAAGGGAAGATGGTATCACCAATTGTGTTGGTGAAAGGAAACATGGTATAACCAATTGTGTTGGTGAAATGGAAGATGGTATCACCAATTGTGTTGGTGAAATGGAAGATGATATCACAAATTGTGTTGGTAAAAGGAAAGATGGCATCGCTACTTTTGTTGGTGAAATGGAAGATGATATCACCAATTGTGTTGGTAAAAGTAAAGATGGTAACACCAATTGTGTTGGTGAAAGGAAAGTTGGTATCACCAATTGTGTTGGTAAAAGTAAAGATGGTAACACCAATTGTGTTGGTAAAAGTAAAGATGGTAACACCAATTGTGTTGGTGAAAGGAAAGTTGGTATCACCAATTGTGTTGGTGAAAGGAAACATGGTATAACCAATTGTGTTGGTGAAATGGAAGATGGTATCACCAATTGTGTTGGTGAAATGGAAGATGATATCATCAATTGTGTTGGTAAAAGGAAAGATGGCATCGCTACTTTTGTTGGTGAAATGGAAGATGATATCACCAATTGTGTTGGTAAAAGGAAAGATGGCATCGCTACTTTTGTTGGTGAAATGGAAGATGATATCACCAATTGTGTTGGTAAAATGGAAGATGATATCACCAATTGTGTTGGTAAAAGGAAAGATGGCATCGCTACTTTTGTTGGTGAAATGGAAGATGGTATCACTAATTGTGTTGGTGAAATGGAAGATGATATCACCAATTGTGTTGGTAAAAGGAAAGTTGGTATCACCAATTGTGTTGGTAAAAGGAAAGATGGCATCGCTACTTTTGTTGGTGAAATGGAAGATGATATCACCAATTGTGTTGGTAAAAGTAAAGATGGTAACACCAATTGTGTTGGTGAAAGGAAAGTTGGTATCACCAATTGTGTTGGTAAAAGTAAAGATGGTAACACCAATTGTGTTGGTAAAAGTAAAGATGATAACACCAATTGTGTTGGTGAAAGGAAAGTTGGTAACACCAATTGTGTTGGTGAAAGGAAAGATGGTAACACCAATTGTGTTGGTGAAAGGAAAGATGGTAACACCAATTGTGTTTGTAAAAGGAAAGATGGTATTATCAATTGCGTTTGTAAAAAGAAAGATGTTATCACCAACAGCCGAGTGTCATCAAGGATTAATATTAAAAGATACTTTTTTGGACCAAAATCTCCAATCAAAGATTTTCCAAACAGCAAAATAATGTAATCTCTGGAGGAAGAAATCCACCTTCTAACCTTGTGTATCATTTTACGGAGAAAAAAGAAACTATATTCTGAATTCAGCAATAATCTTCTGGATTTTAATATTATTGATAGCACAAACACATTTGTTACCATCATGAATATTACTCCAATTCATTTTCCCAGGCATGTTATTACTTTTCTGAAACTCTCACTTGCCAAACGCAGTAGGTTATTTTAATTTTAATTTATTTAGTTTTGCTCTTATTTTTGTTGGTTTGATGTATTCCTATGTCACTTTTGTGCCTAAGAAGAATTTAACATTGTTTGTCATTGCGGTGCAATAAAGATATTATTATTATTATTATTAGGAAATACTAATAGCTCGTCACATAACTTTTCGTGCCTTTAAATGGAACAAAATGCTCAAAAAACTAAATCACTAACCTAATTGGTCTGAAATTTGGTTTCTAATATGTATATTTTGAGTGAATTAATATTTTGGAATTGCTTTATGGTTGATGTGGTTTGGCCACCAACTTGGAAAAAAAGCTTTTACACTTCTGAGAGTCTCAACGATTCAAAATTTTTGTAGTTGCAGCACTGTATTCAGATGACGTAGTTTTAATATGCCTGTCTGTGAAGTGCTTGAATCATTTGCTGACTACGTGTAGTTATTTTGCCAACACTCATAACATCAAATTCAATACTGATAAAAAGAAGTGTTTATCTTGTTGGATTTCGTAATTGTGAACACATTAACCAATGATAGTCGTGACAGTTTGTTGTTTTAGTTGTGTTTAGTTTAGTTTTTTTATACTAGTGTATCTTCTTTTTTTTTTATTCTGAATGTTTCTGACATGGAATGACAACCATGCTTTATTGTACTTAGATCTATGTCCATTTTTAGGATACAACTTCAATAAAGACTATTACATTACATTACATTACATTACATTACATTACATAAAGCGTCAAATGAAGTCCTTTCATGCAAGAGCCAACTATTTGGTACGTAATTTTAATAAGTGTCCTGTTCCAGTTAAGTTGACTATTTAAAACTTTTTGTACAACGATGTATTGTTCGCATTTAAGGGCTGTATTTTCCAAAGCTAATCTGAATACTGTGCAGGTTGCTTATAACAACTCTTTTCGTGTTATATTTTATGTCAGTCACAACTTGAGTATTTCTGAAATCTAAATGGTGTTCCCACTTTTTCAAGTATTCTGCGTAAGTCCAGGGCTGGCTTTTACACAAGATTGACTTCTAGTGAGAATTGTTTAATTGTGGCAGCCATGTCTACTGACATGTTGAAGGACAGCAACTACTGGAAAAGGGTTTTTTTTGATATTTATAAGGCACCCTATTTCTGATTTCTGTTGTGTTTTTAGTAACTTTTAACTTCTTGTTATGAGCTGGTTCTCGAAATAAAAACTTATTATTATTATTGACTACCAATAGAACAATAGAACTAGCAATAAAACATCATGTGACTTTGGGCAAACTATTTCATATTCATTGCTTTGCTTGCACGATGGTCACCCGTAAAAAAGAAAACTATAGTCAAAATATAAAAATCAAATATCTACTACAGTCAAACATGCGTTAGACCCCCTGCCTATAGTGACCACTTTTAGAGAGTCCTAAGACACAACATATGTGCAACCTGTGTAGCAACACCACCTCTCTTTAGTGACTATCTTACAGCAAAGTGTTTGCCGATTCGCCTTTGTTTAGAGACCAAAATAATAGCTCGCATTCCATTTATAAAACTATGTTTAATTTTCCTCAAGTCAAACTTTTGATCAAATGTATTTTTTGTTTCAACAGTACCATCTCATTTTTTTGGGCAAATATTAATGTCAATTGTATGAGTTGGAAATCCATAAAAAGTTAGACAACCTGTCTATAAAGACCATTTAATGAAGTCACTTAACTGGTCACCATTCACAGGTTTGATTGTAATAATAAATTATTATTATTAGCAACATAGTGTAACCCTTATTTGTAGTCAAAGTTTAGAGCTGGGTTAAGTTTGGTGCCCAAACATGAAATGAGGTTGGCAGCAGAACTACAGATATAAATTTATTTTATAAAGATTCTTTTGATTGCTCAAGCAATCAAAAGCAAGTTTACTAATCCTCAAACATATCAAACAAGTAATTGCATTACAAAGTCGTCATTTGTTATCAAGTTTAGGAAACATAAAATTTGGACATGATCAATCTGGCCATGTCAGAAATGTGGTTCCAGAACAGCATTTAAAAAACATCAATGTCCCACCATGTTCAATGTACCAAGCTTGAACAAAATATGCTCATACATGACTGAGATCTGGTTCTAGAATCGCAGAAATACTTGATTTTAATCATTTTTAGCACAAAAATGACTGCCATTCGGCCATCTTGAAACAGATTGTGAAACGAAAGGATGTACATGTGCATATCCCAAAATGCAATTGTATTGTGTCAGGTTTGAATGTAATTAGTTCAAGCATGAACATGCAGACACAGAGGTCAAAATATAAAACCTTGTTTTCGGACTTTGTTCAAATGAAGACTAAAAACATTTGTTGCACATGCAAGAAAACCAGATAATCAAACAGCAAATTCTTGGATAGTCTGGTAAACTGGTTGACAATCTATCCCATGTTCCCTTTCTACCTGGTGTTAGATTTCTTCAATGGTTTGGAAAAAGGAATGTGCAACTCTTCATCCAATGGGAAATCACATTCCAACATACTACCTCGTATTAAGAATACATCCTAAGAAAAAAAAAAAATATTAATAGCATTGAGGATAAAGTTGACATTTTTGGTCAATGTAGAGTACCGGTACCTTCGTTTTTGAGTTGTTCATAACTGACAATAGTTGTGGTGAAACAGCTGGGCAGTACACCTGATCTGATGATAAAATTGCGAGTTTCAATGGTACGTTTGTTGGACCTCAATTGTCAAACATGAATTTGTTTGGTCAAAAAGACATCTTAGATATATAGTTCTGGAAGAACATTTCTTAAAATAAAATAACCACCAGTTGAGGATTTTTTGAATCTGATCTGATAAAAAAATGATGTGCATCAAGGTTCCATTATATTCAATGTATGTAATCTCTCCATACAAGATCCAGTTCCCGAATAGCAGAAATGTTTGATTTTGATGCATTTTTAACATTGAAATGGCCGCCAATCAACCATCGTATATCAGATCATTAAATAAATACACGTCTTCTACTATGATCAGCTCTGGCATATTAAATATACAGGTGTGGGACACACTAATGGACGCAAACACGCAGTCAATCAATGCAAGACTACAACCACACATAAAGTTATTGGGGAGTTGTAATTGCATGTTACAGCGTATGACATGGTGGGAGTGTGTACAATTTTTTTGCTATCTGAGCAGTCGCTGGGTTGGTGTGGCTTGTTAGCTTGTGTAAATATCTGGTGGCGTCGTTTATGTGCGGGCTTCGAATACGAACACAATGTTCAGCACCATCAATGAGGTTTTATTGACAAACCTAAGTGACGGTGCTGAACATCACTTAAACAAAATATAAACTGCAATTGACCTCACTGTGATGTAGCATTGGTTGTGCTACATAGGAAAGGAACCAAGGCATGCGCACTGCATACACAATACGCAAATAACCTGTAACAATATTGTGACGTAGACATATCTCATTAACATTATTTGAAGTGCAATTATTAACAGAAAACATTTATTATGAAACGCCAGAATCACGTATATTCGGTCTTGCCCCCACTCTATTATAATTTGAAGACTGTACACGCTTTCTATCATATTAAACTGGTCACCAAACTTAACATGTGTTTCTGGCCTACACTAAAGTCTGCATGAGCGTAGGCAAGCCTAAATACGTTTCGATTGTATACAGCGCCACCAGTGGCTGTTCTAGCTAAGATCATAAAATGCACAAACAGTCAAATATTACAATGATTCAAATACCTATCAAGATAATCCCTCTTACCTTTGGTGCCCTGAGGTACTTTGACATACTGTCATGGGACATCAGAGCTGAAGCTCTTCCCAGCCCAATTTTAAGCTGATAATTTGATGATGGCTGGTTGCTATGATACTGCTTTCCCATCTTCCAACTATTACCGGTACCTAGTGCATTCTCATCAATACACTTATATGGAACCTTTACAATCTTTTTACCAGCAGGTATCAACTTGATTTCTTGCTGTCCTTCTCTATTATCAGTATTGACAGATGATGAAGAACTATCAGTTCCACTGGAGTCACTTTCTGTTGCAGTATCAACCACCACAGATTTATATTTCACATACAAGTCTAGATTTTTGTCAGGAACCCAAGACGCATCTTTGGACATGACAGTCTCCAGATCATGGAACTGCATAACAGGATCACTGAAGGGATCTTTAATCTTTGTATTATCATGTTCAGAGCTCGTAAAAATATCTGAACTACTACTACTACTGCAGCTACTACTACTAGTAGATGAAACACTAAAATCGTCAGGCAATTGTAGGAGCCGTGAAGAACTTGCAGGTTTATTGGCATCATTCTTAATTACATGTGGTGTTGATGATGTCAATTGTTGATGTATTGAAGCCCTCCCAGAAGATATTAAAATAGCATCATTTCCATCTTTCATCATTTCCATGGTTACATTATCTGTAGCATCACTTCCAACATTTATCATCTGTATAGTTGCATCATTAACAGCATCACTTTTCTTCTTCATTTCCATGGTTACAGTATCATTGCTTCCCATCATCTTCATGGTTTTAGGTGTTTTAACATTAACAATCTTAATATCTTTGACATCATTCCTGGTAAAGTGTACTCCACTTTCAATCTGTTTTTTCTCTGCAATTGACTTTTTGACACTCAAATCAAGTGGATGGTCACCATAAATGATTTGATCTGTTTTCACTTTTTTTTCATCAATTTCACTTTCCATATTTCCACTTTTCAAATCTGACTGCATACTGTCTGAAATTGTCACATCATTTTCCTTTAATGTCAGCTTCCCAAAATCAATACCAAGTGCTGTAGAAAAGGCGGCCATCAGGGCGTCATGATCCATATTTTCATCAACTGGTTTTACTTCAAGGCTAGAACTAAATACATGTGTGTCATCTTTCTTCTTCACACAAGTAATCCAATCACTTGGTTCCAACTTTATACTGGCATCACCATTGTTTTCAGGATCATCATGTGTAGAGCAGCTATCAACTTTGCTCATGACACCATTCTCTTCATATTTCTTTAAATCTGAATCACATCCATTGATCCATGGTACATCTTCACACATTTTTTCAACTTGTGGCTTTTTTAACTGGTTGGAAGATATTTTATTTCTGGATTCATACAGAGACACTGCACTTTTAATATCTACAGGATTTTCCTGAGAATCTTTGTTCATCTCTGATGACTCCATACTTTGATTTTTGGGGTGGTTACAAACGGTTTCCATTTTCTCTTTACTGGTATCGTTACCATTTACTTCAACATTGTCTACCTCTGTTTCATTTTCATCACCCAGAGATTCGTCGCAGGTGGATGCGTCATCAGAGGAAGATTTACTGTCACTTTCACAAAGTTTCTCCAGCATGTCAGGACACTGATTTGGAGAAAGGTACATGGCCTGTGTAGTACTTGGACTGGTATCAGCTACAAAGTAAAGAACAGAAATCAGTTCACATGAGCATACAAGCATGCACAGACATCTTCTAATTCTAAGATTTATAGGTTAAACTACTAATGCATGTAAGATGTATTGTTTACATGAAATGCACGGCAGCTGTGGTGTTATATAACATTAATTGGCTTTTATTTAGCCAATGGAGAAATACCTTTACCTCTACCACGAAAACCTTTGAAACCGCTACTGGTGCTCTGTTCAGCAGTAAAATTACTTCCCTCGTGCCATATATCACGACTCCATATAATCCCAGCATCTACATTATTAATATAGTTCTCCCGAAATCCATTCTCATCCCGGTTTTGTATGCCTTGGTATCGATAGTGATTGCGTGCAGCTTGTCGCCTAAAATTGCTTTCCATTTCATGAAATTCATCAGGTAACAGATGACTTGTATTAGCCTGTAAACATATAATCATATGCTCATTAACCCGTTGATTGTATTTACATAAGATTACCAAAATCATTTAAATTTAATATTCATGTTTCTAAAAAATAATAAAATTATTCCATTTGTTTATTTCCAGCAAACAGATATTGTTATGCAAACAAATATTCAGTAAATTTCCATAAATATATTTGTTATTATGAATATACAAGAACTGTGGATAATAAATATTATTGATATTCACAACTCAGTGCGTTCAATTGCAGAGGATCTTTTAGGATTCTTATTTCATTTGTTGTATTTTTCATCACTTCAGCATCCAATGTCCTTTGTCAAATGAACGAATCTTACTTTCAGACTTTTACTTGTTTCACTGGGAGAATCTCTGATGACTTTCAGGTATATATCAACAGCTGCAGTGAATTCCTCCATCATACATTCCATTAATACTTTACGTAAATCTAGCAAATACATGACATCTTTAACTGCTGCTTCTACCAAGTACAATGACAATGGTCTATCTAACCAAACAGCCTGGTCTATCTATTGCAACAAGAAGAGAATATGAGCTTATTGAGCGGATACCGCAAATTATGTACAACAACGGTACAGCCAAAAATGACACAACATACTGTCCAAGTTCATACATACATGTAGTATCCTAGTATAGCCTTATTGGCCATACCTGGTGGTGAGAAATAGTTGATCTTACTTTACTATGTGCACATATTCACAATGTGCCCACCACCTTGAAAATTTTTTGTCAAATCACTTCTTGCTTACGGTTTGCATATTCTAGTATGCATATGCCACACCAAAATAAGGAATGTGGTAATATACAGTGATATGTTGACAGTTGTATGATAAGATAATATTCTCTATTTTGTCTAATTTCAGCTGGGGAAAATATATGTGATACAGTTTTTAATTAATGCACCAAAATAGAACTGGATGTCTATGTTGTGAGCAATCTCTAACTGCCATTCTAAATCTATATTTGCTCCATATTTAATATGAGAAGCTGCCTTTATTATTATTTGAATGTTACTTTTTCCCTGACCCAAATTTTAGTTTAATATTCAACAAATTTTTACATATTTTTGAATATTATCTTTGTTAATGATTAATAATATATTTGAAAGGACATTAAAAAAAACACGAAATTGTCTGTAGAAAATATTAATGGTCATTTCCTCCATTCTTTACCTCGATACATTTACTCCTAACTCTTTGGAAGTAAACCTGGTCAATAGTTAAATTCATATATTCCATAAGACATCCTACTTGACCTCGCACATAACGTGGTATATCACCTCCATTTCTATTCTTGTAAATAATGACATCAGCAACCTACCAAGGAGAGTGAGAAGTAATGTCACAGTGAAAAAAATTCCTATTCTATATGTCACATATTCTCTCAAAATTGACAAGACACAAGATCACATGGGTGCCAAGGCACAGGGTCAAATAAGTACCAAACCACATGGTAACATAAGCACCAAGGCCTGAGGTCACATTGGTACCAAGGCACGAGGTCACATTGGTACCAAGGCACAAGGTCATATAAGCACCAAGACACGAGGTCAAATAAGCACCAAGGCACGAGGTCAAATAAGCACCAAGGCACGGGGTCACATGGGAACCAAAGCACGAGGTCACATGGGAACCAAAGCACAATGTCACATGGGTACCAAGGTACAATGTCACATGGGTACCAAGGTACAAGGTCACATGGGTACCAAGACACGAGGTCATATAAGCACCAAGACACGAGGTCAAATAAGCACCAAGGCACGAGGTCACATGGGAACCAAAGCACAATGTCACATGGGTACCAAGGTACAAGGTCACATGGGTACCAAGGTACAAGGTCACATTGGTACCAAGGCACAGGGTATATGTATTTCATGAATGTAATCCTCAATTTCAAAGTATTTTGCAAGGAATATTATGCTTCTAAATCAAACTATCTGGAGACATTTTATTTTTATTTTTAAAAAATGCAGAAACATTCATGTTTCCGTCACACATTTCCGTCTATGAATGCGAAGAATTTAATGTAGTAAAAGACAATGGAGTTTCAAGTTTTATAATTAGCAATATAGGTATATAAATGATTGTAAGCTGTTTATTTATTATAAGCTTGTTTATCTGGTGATCAGCAGTGATAATACAATATTAAAAGTATAGCTCACCTGTGTGTCAAATACATTGACGAGTTTACATCCGAAGAGATGAAACAATAAATCTGAGGGTTTTCTACAATCATGCATCACCTATAAGCAATAATAATTATGAAAGTATAGCAATGTGAATGAACAGACACCAGCCATAAAAATCAAAGAAAGATTAGTAAGAACTCCTATGTGCTGAGGGAACTGAAGAGATGAAATAAATATACCGTAAAAATCATATTTGAGGCCGCAGCTTTAATAGAAGCCGCACCCCTAACTTATTTATTTATTTATTTATTTATTTATTTATTAACACACAACATCCCTCGGAGGGGATGAAAAGGGTTACAAATCAGATATTAGTAAAAGAAAAATAACCACATAAAGAGTAAGGGAACAAAAAGGCATAAAAAAAAAAAAAAGATAATAAGTTGAATACAAGGAATGTATTACTGGCTTAGTTTATGTAGGTGCTGCTGTCTTGTATTAAACAGTTTTTTAAATATTGCGCTAAAGGAATTGACATTTTCTCGTCACTTAGTAATGATATGAATTTATTTTCATTACTAAATTTGTCAAAATTTGGTATACGTTTATTAGCTACAATGTAAAGTTTTGATCTTATTTCATTGTAATGAGGACAATTTGTGACAAAATGTTGTTCATCTTCAACATGGTCATTGTCGCACATATTGCAGACTCTGTCTTTAAAATCCAATCCTGTATGCCGGCCTGTTTCAATTTTCAGACAGTGGTTGCCAAGTCTAAATTTTGTTAAGGATTTGCGAAGTTCACTGTTTTTCATAATTGTTAAGTAGTTTTCTTGTTCTATTTTGGTTTTAAAAAGTTTGTAGGTTCTTAGTTTATTTTTAGAATTTGATTTTTTCCTATTGTCATTATTTATTTCATTTTTCCACTCAGTTGTAAACTCTTCTTTTAATTTCTCATCAATTGTTTTTAATTTTGATAATGAGATAATATTTGTTTCATTTAAAAGATAAGAATGGTTAATATTATTTAATATCAGATCAAGTTTTTTAAACCATTTACTTTTAATAATTTAAGACATTGTTTCATGTTGAAATTGACAAGTTTTGATCCCAAGAAAAAGTCTGCAATATAAGCCGCACCCCAAACTTTCACAAACCAAACAGCCACCACATATTTCAGAAAAAGATATATCATTTAATTTTAAATTAAGGCATAATTTTTCGAAAATTTCAATGATTCCTGACGTTTAGATTAGAGTCTAATTAAGGTTTTCCGTAGTCATTGACGCTTATTCCAGAGTACAGGTTTATTGTGGGTAACGTGACTGGGTAAACTGCATTTTGACAATGAGCTGTTATTATTGTCAAACGTGTTAAATCCTTCTTCAATGCTCAGCTTATCTATCGAAAACAACTAATTTCTTGATTTAAAAAAAAATCATGCCGTTTTCCCATCAAAATCAAACGATCGCACTACAACAACGGTAAATCTCTTCCGTGTTTTGTTTACCATGAGGTCGCTGAACTACATTAACATATTTAAATGAGCTATGGTAATTTAATCACGTTGGCACCATCCAGCCTTTCGATTGGTTAATTAGCGACTTGACCTGTCAGGTCAACAAAACAGTTTCAAGTCACTAAAGATGTTTAAACATGACGGATATCGTATCGGATCGAGCGTTTATATGTGATCGAAATCATTCGCTTGCGGTGAAACTAAGTTGAATTTTCACAACAATTCAACGAATTTATTTATTGTACGTTATTGTAATTACTACTGAGCAATAATCAGCAATTGTAACACTTTGAAAACAAGTAAGTTATTCACTTGTGTGAAACGCAGCATGACCGTTACCGTGATCATTTGCTACTAAGAATGCATTCGTTTTTGTTTTGACTCCTTTTAGAATATACTTTTCGTTAGGCCACACTGATTTAATTTTATGGATGACATCCTCTGAAGACCCCAAAACTATTGCAAGAGGGCGAAAAAAAAAAAATGCTGCTAAAACCACAGGACTACGGAGCTATTATTACGAATTTAATCACAGTGTATCAAAAAACAAGTCTTCATTTGTAGGAGGCACATGCTGATGTACACATTTCGTACTGTATTACTGTCACAGGTATCATCACCTTTGATTTTGAAAAGGTAAGAGGATAAGGCAGATGTTAGCTTTGCCAAAGGCATACACATCAACTCAATAATAAAGAAAAACTTACTGTGTTGTATTGAAAAAAAAAATAATTAAAAATGAACAATAAGTTTGTCAACAGCAACCTGGAAATTAACTTCTTTGACATTCAAACTACAGCTTTTAAAGTGACACTTCAGATAGACTAAGTGTAGACACAAATGCTCTAGAACTACTTCAACTATGTATAATTAAACAAATTATAAGAGGCTCGATATTGAAAAAAAAACACCAACAGAGAGTCAACAATAATTTGGATGCAGAAAATTATGTACATGTATCTTGATGAATATTACTGAATGTGTGTGTGCGAGCAAATTATCCGAATCAGAAAATGAAAAAAAAATAATAAGAAACTTTTCTTCACCCCGTAAGGGGACTTTGGCCAAGTTGCTTCTGCTGCTTTCGTTGCAGTTTTGTCGACTTCAATGCGGACAAAGCAACCAAACTGATTTGTCGCCTGACCGACTTTTAGGCCACCATACACCTCCACTCCTCTCCCATTTCTCTCATCATTGCAGAAGAAATGCGGGACAGCCACTCTGGACAATATGTTCTCAAAGTTGTCTGGGCGAAACTTGCTTGCCGCTACCGACCTCTCGTATAGCTGTGTGAACGTCTCCCTGGCCAACGTCAATTGCGTACCAGTCTACAACAATCCCTCCGTTTTACCTCTGAACTTTTATGCTCACGTATTTTGGTGGTGTGGTCGCCATGTTGGATAATTTATGGCAAAATTTGCATGTTTTGAGGCAATCTCTTTCCCATAGGTCTTTGTGCTTTACGTAACGCGCATCTAACTGTGCGGAGTTTGGTTTTGAGGTAGTCCAAAACGAGTTTTACGACAAGTCGGCGCTTTGAGACAATATGAGTCGGCGGCAAGTTCCGGACAGAAAACCGATCTGTGGAGACTCGTCTTCTGAGATTTTTTTTTTTTTTTTTTTTTAGAACAGGCGAAAACTAATGCGCGCGCGGATGTCATCCTTAAAATTAAATCGGTGTAGCCTTATCAAAAAAAAATAAGAAAATAAATATATATTAAATTAAATAATATACTGAGTATTTTTTTTTTCATCATTCGAACATTTTTTTTTGATTGACTTTTTTTATTTTAATTTCCCCGATGTCTAAATTAAACATGGAATGTACAGTCACCCTGCCGGAAGTCGAACATGCCGCAATCGACTGTGTCAGACGGCTGTCTCTCACTTGTGACCTACATTTGTATACCGGTGCGAATGAATTAGTCTATTCAAAAGATTGTAGTATACAGTACCGTAATCTGCAAATGCATACAAATCTATTCGTAGATATCATTTATTGTGCAGTATGTTATACAGTATGAAATTTCGTTTGTGTACAAGTTTGTCTGTGTGTAAAAATCTCAAAGTGCCTTAGAATTGCAACAAAGTTGCAATCGAGTGTCGTGCATCTCATTAGCATATCATTATCCCTTCTGGCCTTTGTTTTTTGAAAAAATTTCCCACTGTTACCGAAGTGAATGCTCTAATTAAAGCCGCACCAAGACTTCACGCATCTGAATTCGTCCATTGAAAAAATGAATTTTAATTGAAGCCGCGGCCTCAATTAGGAATTTTACGGTAGAAATTATTGGAAGCTGTTTGATTGGACACTATTTCTGATTCATAATTACTCATCATACAAATGATCTGAATAATAAACTGGATACAGTGTTCAAAGAATTTATTTTGATTACATTACAAGTGAAAAACGATTCATACATTATCAATAACTTGCTATACAAATTAGATTATAAATTTGAACAGATGTAAACCTAAATAACTAAAAACTATTATTAATTATTTTCCGGAGTGAGCGAATTAATAGGATACAAATGGAAAACAAGTTTTTCAGGTGAGCGAATTAATAGAATACATTTTGATCTGTTTAACAAAATGTCACGCACCATGCCATATTCAAATGCTATTTTCTAGCCATTTAATTGGTCGTGAGGAAGACAAGATGCCAATCACTGAGACGAGCTGTATTTTGTGCTACAGTGAAGGTGTGCTGTTTTGCAACGAATATGTAAACAAACAATCAATGTGTGGCCATCTGATTGTACCACTCTTTTATGTTTCTAGCCAAGCACGTCAGACACAAAACGTAACTTTTTACACACACATATATTTTGGTACGGTATATGTCTTAATTATGCCATCTCGCAGCCCGAATTGTTCACACATTTTTAGATACATACTGTAGGTATTGCGTGACACATCCCATTTAAAAACAAAGCTGGCACGTGCCTATCTATTTACAATATTGAATTCAAAAATGAGCTCATAATATCTACAATGACTAGAAGCGGTCAGGAAGTAGTCAATATAACGTCTGATAAATTATTTGTTTGATACCAAAGACGCATCGGTTCTGTAGGTATTGCCACATTGTTTGCCTGTGACAGTGCAACAAAAACATTACAAAGAATTCACGTTAGCTCTGGGTTTCAATATTCATTGCAGCGATGAAATCCTGGTGCAACCAAACAAACGTCATCAAAAATTCTCCAAAAAGAGATATACTGTACCAATGCGTGCTAGGAACTGTTTTTTGCCCCTGATGTTACTGACTAGAAATAATAAACGAAAGCCGTGCAATCAGAATCTGGCAGCTATTTACATGGCCATGTGTTGCTGGCAAAACAAAAAATATGTGCCTTTTCAGTGTAATGCAAAATACAGCGATCAGCACCGGCGCCATAACAGTAGAGACGTTGTTGCGACCGGAAAGCTCCACTCGCTCGCTCGTATAGAATGAATTTATTTTCCAACATGGCGGACACATGCAGATTCAACTCTGTGACTGTCACACTTTTTTGATATTATTGCAAATCATAGAAATTCACAATATATATTTACTCCTCGATGCATATTAATTGACTATATAATTATTCAGCAAAACAACTTTATTGTAGTGAATGAAACATTTTTTCCGGTCAAAGCTCTCTCTGCTAGCTGCAATGATCTCTGGTGTTCACAGCTACTGGAGGTAATCGGTAACCTGAACAGGATACCCACATACTGAAAACAACAAATTCTATGGCACTATTGATGGCAAATTAATAGGATACAAATTATAATCAATTTTGAAAAAATAAAACAGGTGGGCGAATTAAAAGAGACTGCAATTTAATAGAGACTTTACGGTATAATTAGGCCTGTGATTAGCCCCGGGCACCTATGTACCATTGAAATATAAAATAGCTGTACCTGGCGTTAGAGTGATGCCTATTCAAGAAATTATACGATAATCTCAACGACCTAATACTGTATACTAGTATCTGGATAATCACACATGATATCTCTGTAATAACAACTGTACATTATATTACCTTAACTATTTCTTTATTTTCCAATACATCACCCAAGCCTTTGTCAAAACATGTGGATTTCATTCTTAAAATATCAAAGAGAAAAACATGCTGTCTAGTAGCCACCTGAGAAGAAACACCAATAACATATAAACGTTTGATAAAGCTGAAGTTAAACATTCTTGTTCATACAAACACACATATTACTAAATTCAATAAAATATAACTCTGTGAATATTCAAACAACAACATTGTTTTGTTTTTTTCACAAACTAGTGAATTTAAAACTTATAGTGATATTCCTTCAATACGCTAAAATTAAACGCAGCATAAAGTCCAAAGTATATACGGATCGGACAAGAATGACTGAGTTTTGAATAATGATTTTTAATTCAAAAGCAAGTTGCAAGAACCATTATATTCATCAAATACCAAAGAATCACCAATACACACACACAAACAGCTTTAAATATTCAAATATGTAAAAAACACATTTCAGGAAACTTATTTTGTTTACCTGCACAATACTGACTTTACCACTTCGTCCAACTAATACTCCTTCCATATTAACAGCAATGAACTTCTGCTGTAAAAGATGAGTTATCTGGGAAAGGAAGCAAAAGAAACATTCTGTAAGTTTATCAGTTTGAAATAATTGACCCAGAAACTCTCTTATAGCCATTAGAGAGACAATAGAGATAACATACAGCCATGTCTGCTACCGTTAAAGTCCTAATATAAACCGCATACGTAATAGTAACCGCACCCCCAATTCAGGCTTCGGGGTTAAAGAGTTCTTAACAAAAATTGAAAACTTGAAAAGTACCTATTACTAACTGCACCCCCAATTCAACAAGATCATGACTGTCTTCATTGTTTCAACCAGCTGTTTCAAAACGGCATTGTTCCTAATCCTATTCATTTGTTTCGAAGACGTGCCTAAAATATTCACATCTATTTATTGTTCAGCGGTGATAAGATGTCAGATACGCAATGAAACTGCTTTTTTTCTAGCTGTAACGTCTGTATGTGTTTCGTAAGTTTTCGACAATGAGCTGTTATCACCGCAAAAGTGTTAAATTCTTCTTCAATACTCAGTTTATCTTTCGAAAACAAATAATTTCTCGATTTAAAAAAAAAATCATGCCGTTTTTCCATGGAAATCAAAGCCACAAGATCGCACTATATTATCGGTAAATTTCTTCTGTGTTGCTTTCACCATGAGGTCGCTGAACTGTCATTAACATATTTAAATGACCTATGGTAATTCAGACACGTGGGCACCATCCAGCAAACATTTCGTAACGTCTATTTTAGAACCAAAGTAAGGCCTTTCACTCTTCCCTGACGCCTATTCAAGAGATTGTACGATGTATTGTTTGTTTTGTGCATGTGTTGTGGGCCATTTAATGATTGCAATATGTCCGTAATAGGAACCGCACCCCGAACTTGAGCTTTTGATCTCAATTTTTAAATTGATACATTGTAATATAAACCACGGTTTATATTAGAACTTTAACGGTAGCTGTCAAATAAACTTTTTCACAATAAATTATACCCTAGTCTTATCAACAAGTTATAGAAAACAATTATTTCAAAATGTTAAAAAATACAAATTCAAATTCAAATGAAGGCTAACTCAAGGTGTAGTCATTGAACAATCCAAATAGCTATTTGGGTAGCAGAAGTACCGTGATTCATAAAAAAATTCATGTACAGAGGAATATAATGAAATTATCAAATATTTTACAAATAAACCAATTTCATGAACAAAACAAAAGAATAACCCTCAAAATTAATAACATCAATGAATTTATTCAAGTTAAATAATTTGATTGATCGAGACATTTTGCTATTCACCGATTTCAACATAATAATGCACAGAACACAGTACATTATTATACTATGTGAACATCAATAAATTATTACTTACAGCATTGAAGTAAACATCATCAATACGATCAATCCAGCTGTAATGGACATTCACTTCCTCTTCATTCTCACCAATATTTATTGTTACTGTAAATGAGAAAGACAATAGGTTTCCTAATTCTAAACTCACTCACACTGATGAGAACTATAGTCAATCTATCACATTCATCATCCTATAGTCAGCATTACCAATGTGTTGGTATACTGAAAACCAAAGGGGAAAAAATTACTGTGTTTCCTGTGTGTAACAGGCTTACAAAATATTCGGTAGGCAGGAAGGGCTTTATTTCACTTTACGTTTTCCCCCCAATGATCTACCTTTTTAAATGTTATTTCTATCACAATCATGTATTTAATACAGATATAACATTAA